TCACCTAACTTCCTAAAGCTAACCAGGAAAGGTCATCAGGTCAGCCTGGCCATTTCCAATGAGGTGCACACCGTTGTACGCGTCTTGAGACGGTGAACTCAAATCTGTCTTCAGAATTTGCGGAACGATCTCTGAGCGGAGTTATGGAGGGGTTTATCCCCGCATAGTTGTTTTACATGCTATCGCGAGCAAACGTGGAAGCGTCTTTACATAATGTATGGAGTCCTTCTGAAACGTGGTAGTAGAGCGCAACGGATAGCGAGTGGGTTTCCTAGGCGAGACGTCGTGGGATCAAGTCCCGGCGGGTAGCACATTTTTGCATTTGTCCAAGAACATGGCAGACGAGGCTTCTAACATCTCTGCTCGCCTGCACTATCCTGTAAGGAAACTGCGACCAGTTTTTTTCGAAAGTGTAGACCCATTGTGGCCTGAAAGAGTGCTTGTGCTTGTCCCCCCCGTAGCACATGTCACAAGGGTTTTTGCAATGAAATACCATGATATTCATGTTCAGCGGGTCAAATTACCCCTGGGGACAAGTTTCTAGCCAAATCTGACGTTTCGACCTAACTTGGAAAATGTGGGCCATTCTATGGACAATTAGCAGCAGGCTGGGGTCCACCCACCATGGATGACTGGTCTTGGGATGGAATTTTCTACCGGTAATCAGGAAAATGATGCAGACGGCACAAATAAGTAAGCCAGGTACTGTTGTTTGCGAAAACATGACTGAAGAGTTATTTCAGTTCGAAGACCAGTCATCACCAGTATGCTAGTCGTAGTATCGCTGTTAGCTATCAGTCAGCCATGACTATCCATACCCCTTTTTTTCGAAGTTGAGTCAGAACCTCAGATTTTGCTAAGGTGACGTCCTAGGGGTTATTTGACCCCCTGAACACGAATATGATACCTGTTTTGCGCGAAGAGCGCTGTGAGTCGCGCTACATGTGCCAACGCTTCGGCGCCAGCGCGCCCGTAAGAAGAAAAACAGTAAAGAAACCTCCATAACTCCGCTCAGAGAATCGTTCCGCAAATTTTGAAGATAGTTTTGAGTTCACCGTCTCAAGGCGAGTACAATGATGTGCACCTCATTGCAAATGGCCAGGCTGACCTGTTGACCTTTCCTGGTGAGTTAAGATGATGTCTAAATATGCACCATCTTTGCTCTCCGATAAAATTCTTCTCTGGTTCTCTGAAAGCGTTGAGCGTTACGTCAGCAGAGTGCTCCTGAATCCACTGAGCGTGCTCTATGGAGCTCCAGATATTGCTTTTGGCTACATCCAAAAATTAAGAATCTTCACATTGCGGACGGGGAATTTGTGCACCACGAGCCATTAGACTGAGCTCTTTACTGAGCAAGACATGTGTGGTATCATGATATTGCAAATCTAGCCTCGAACCTTTACACTTCAATGTGAGCCCACGCACGTTTTTTAACTTGAAAAGGTATTCATGAAAGGCAGGAGGTCTCCACTGTTCCAGAGTCATTTATTTTGTGCAACTGAGCACTGATTTTGATAATCATTAGTGTTTTGAATCTTTCCAAATTCTCCGGAACGTTTCTGAAAGGGTGTTTTTCAGTAGATTAGCTGAAAGAAGAAGAAATACAAAGTAATCTAGCGATAAAGGTTCTAAAAGAAGATATGACAAGAACTCGTTTTCTAGCAGGTAACACTTCAATCCAACGTTATTTATCGGTGATGTTCAGATCTCGGGAAGGCTCAGTCTGAGGCTTTCTAATTTACTGGCTGTTAAAACAGATTGGTGCATTCTTCGTGCATTGCCGCCCTTCGCACTCTAGTAGTGTCGATTTGGTCATTACAGTAACAGCAATCCACATCTACATGATTACCCAGCTATAGATGATTCACTCACCGTTGAAGCCTACTGAAAGACTTTAAACATTGGAAAAATAAATCGAATCACATTAGCCTGTTTTAAGCACTTGAAATTTCGGGCAAACTTGATCATCTGCCTTTCCCATGCCTACAAACCATATATAGTCATGACCCCTGGAGTGGACAGCGCGTGTGAAGGGGCGTGAACTTGAGCCTGGCCAAGGGCTTCTTCCTCGGCAGTTAGTGCGGACTCGGGATGGTGGGAGGAAGCCGCCCTAGCTGCGCTCCAATCCATGTAAAGTCACACACTCTATCATGTACAGAAATCATGACTGTTTATATCTCTATCATCGAAACATCACGCATCTAATGCAGGTTGTCGAAGTGAGAAACGAAAGCATCACAACCACAGGTTTCCTAGGGGAGAAGGATCTGGGGTTCGCCTGTGCCCGGGATTCTTGCTGCTGCTGCAAAAAGTCTTGCGTTCGACGCTGATAGAGATACGTAACAGCGGCTCACCTCCCAGCCGTACGTCATCATAAGCGGCTGGACTGGTGAAGCAGGCGTAAAGGAGGCATTAAGAATATGTACTAGTAGAAAAAGTAGTAACCTACCGATTAAAAGCATGGAAGGCTTGAGAAAAACAATGATGATCGTTGGTGCCCTATGATATGGCATGAATGGTGATGCGTGGCACATGACAAATCGCAGGATATAAGCTATTATCAAATAATCGGTGCTTCACCGATCTGTCTGCTCCATTCTTATACGAAAAGACAGCTGGGGAAGGGGGGGGGGGGGAGACGGTGTCGTCGTTACTTTTGCACCAGTGCAACAGGCTTCCTGGCTTACCCGAACCATGAACCCTGTTTCAGTTGGGCAATCGTCAGTTGTTAACCAGTAATTTTCCTCTCCGGTCTGAATTTCTAGTGATGTTCAGATAAACTTCTTGCTGGTGTAAGCAGGAGATCTAGTGGTTATGGACCCAAAATCACTAGGTCACTGAAAGATTGACAGGGAAAATCTTCATCCGGACTATTCAAAATACAAGGAAGATCTAGACAATGGAGCTCATAAATCCCTCGATACTACTAGTAAATGATATTACGTACTCTGTTCAGATCAATTCGTAAAGTTTGCTGGGACATATCGTACCATCATTGGTCCCAAAGCGACAGCAGCATGTTTTTGCTCATTTCCAGCTGCTCATGTCAGTAATCTGACTTGCTTTTTTGATCAGGTTAGTTTTTCTTCTAAGGTTTTCGATTTTCCTATAGAATGAAGATCAAATTGGAACTTACCACTAGAATAACGTTGTTTTCTTTGGCCATTCGGAAAAGGGTCCAATTATAGCCATAAACTATAAAGCAGTCAAGGAAAGCCTATCATCAGTAAAGGGAGAAGGAGGAAGAGGAATTACACTTCACCACATGCAGTTACTAATTTCCAGTTGTCCCGACGAAAGGCTCAAAATCAGACAGGCACCCACTTTTCGGAGGTCGCGTGTCACCGCGAAGGAGGTGGGGCTCGTCAGTGCAGAGCTCACTCAGAAGTGGGGCGAGATGTGGTACTGAAATCTCGTGCAATCGCTGATTGATAAAAGATTTCTTGATAGTCCTTGCTGTGGAGAAAACCCAGGAGACACCAATGATAGAAGGCAATTTGCAAGCTCTTAAGTGGGAGTGGGCGGTGACAAGTAGCGGTAATCGCTAACAAACCCTGATGATTAGAAAAACGCGAAACGAAGTATATGCTTGGAGGTTTCTGAACTGCATATCTGCCTTCACGGAGAAGCCTTACGTGGAGGTAACATTTTCCCAACAACTCTGCGTCGGATGCATGGCGCAGTACAGAGGAATTGTCAATCGGCGCCGAATGAACTATTACCTAATTTCGACTGAAAGATGTTTATTCCAAAAGCCTACTCATACTTCATAACAAACAGTGAATGGTACTGAGTCGGAGATGCGGACCATTTGCGTAGTCCGAGGGCCCATGGATCTTGTACGCACCGATTTCCCCGCGCAGAAGTGCACGGGAACGTTGCTAGAAGTCAGTGATGCACGTGTGCTGTCTCCACATTTCGCCATTTCGCTATCCTCAGTGTGTTTCGTTTCCATGGTATTTGTGGTGGGTAACTTGCTTGTCGGTATTCTGGTCAGTTCCACAAAAGTGGAATGAAAAGATAACCAGAAGTATAGATTCTACGCAGAGCAGTCCATAAATGTTGATCTTCCCTGTAGAATGTTTATTCTTTTTTGAGTAAGAAGACGAGGACGAAGATTAGGGTAGTGAAAAGTTGTCTCGCTCACTACGGGCGCATGGCAAAGGTTTGATTTTGGCTGGGCTCTCGTCCAGCTCGCAGAGACATATATCTCTCGGTTAATTGGTATCGCTCTTGCTCGGGAGGATGGAAACTCTGACCTTCTAGGTTATTGTGCAGCTCAGTTCGCGGTCAAATTCCCCTAGGGTTCTTAAGGACAGTTCAAAACAACATCAAGGGAGCGCGTCCGGGAGTGGCAGATGACAGATAGCTCGGAAGGGCAGTGGCCGCCACACTGCAAGTTCGGACCAGCTTCAACACGAACTCCGGATACCATCGTAGTAGGTCCGCCAATGAGGCCAACTCCCACTGCGCAACACCAACAGCAGCAGGTACAGGTAAAAAAGGGGGCATCATAAGGGCAACAAGGTTACAAGTGGCAGTCTAGAGAGGAGAAGAAGAAGAAGAAAAAACGAACGAAACGAAGTCAAACAACAATATGGAAAAAGGTGTAATTTTTTATTACACCTTTTTACTTTTTCTTTTTTTATGGGCTTTAATTGTACCTTCTGAGAAAGGTCTTGGAAGTAGCAGCAGTTTTCTCTTATGTGCAATGCTAGGTTTGGTTATTTCAGGTAGCCGGTACAGGTTTGCTGCTATTCTTCGTGGTTGTTATTATCGACCGTCGAAACGGTATACCAGCATGCGCTCATCCCTTCCTCTTTGGTTTTGTTCTTGTAATGATCGGTAAGTCCTTAGCAGCTCAGTCCAATATAGAAAACGATGAATCGCCCCATGAGGGGCTTTCGTATATAAATAAGTTCGTGGATTCTTATGGAGAATAACAAGACTGTTGAAATCAAGAAAGTTGTGACCAGTGCAGGATTTCCTATTTTGCAATTTTTTTTCACAAAGGCAGGACTTGCCCTAGTTGTAAAAATCCTCTTCATGGGCGTCAAGTCCGATCTACTATTTAAAAAATGCCAGAACGAAAATGATTCATTTTTCACTGTTAGCTCTTGAGGAATGGAGTGCAATTTAGTGTTTTTGTACTCCGAGATAAGTCTGGTCCTATCTAGTCGCTCTGGTAAGCAGAAAATTTAGTTTGGGCAGCCGATCCGAGATTCGATCACCAGACCACACGGGGTTAGCGGCACAGCTTGCCACCCAATTACCTTCCTCGCTCATAAATCAAATGCCGGCTCGAACTCCTTCGAAGTAAGTCAAGCGTTAGCAAGAAATCCGTGACGAGGGGTCGTATTCGGTGGTGGGGAAAAAGTCATTTTTGAAAAAACGGATTTGACCGCTCATTCTCAACATTCAGTTGCGCCACACACCCGCTTCATTCTCAACATCGCTGTCGAAGGTGCTAGAGTTAGGCTGGGAAACGAGGACCAAACAAGTTGTGCGCTGCTCTCACAGCCATGGTCGTAGTGACGGTGACGCGTAGGTGCCAATGGGAGGGGTTATGCTCTTTACTGAACCAGAACCCGTAGCCGCTTTCATGCACTGTATACCCCTTTTTGTCCCTAACATATAGTTGTCGATGGTACGGCAATTTGAGCCATTCTGATACTTGATCCTGCACTCTTTCCCCGCTCCCTCCTACGCTCATCGCCCACTTCATGCTCGGTGCTTGTTGGGTGGGCGCCATATCAGTAAAAGGAACCAAGGAGAAGACATGTTGAGGTGAAAGTTTCCTCTGCGTTGCTCCAGATTAATCAAGCCGTCCATTCACCTAGTCTGCTACATACATACTTGATGCCAACATCAGTGAGAGGATCTTCAAGGGGACGTCAACCAGTGAATAAATAAGCGAATAAGCAATAAAAAAATAAATTCGAGTCAATATAAGAAAGTGAGGAAAAAATTCAGGAAAGGTAATCAGCAGTATCGTGGTGCCATTTCGAAGCATGTTTGCCTTAATAGCTTACGTTGGCATCCTATGCGGAAAGCTTTTT